ATTGCCAGGAAAGACTGGTTAGATGGCTGACAAGAGACCTGAAAAGGAGACATTTTCTTTGGTAATTTAGTCTCATTCCATGGTCTGGTCTTCATCTTTACATGTCTAGAAACTAGAAGTGAATCATTCTCTTAGGAATAGACTCACATTAACCAGTATCATATGAGTCTGATGTATGAGAGTACCAGCTTATTAAGAGTTCATGCAACAAGTCGACACGTTCTCTTTGCTAGAGAAAAACTCTGTATGGGAAGCCAAATTATAAAACAAAACTCGATCAGCAGGAATCAGCAAGAATTGGCTGGATGATCTTAGTCACTAGTGCTGTCCCACACAATTCCTCAAACAAGCAGGGCTGGAGAGCTAGGACATTCCAGGACCTGCACTGGGAACTGCCTGATCCACTGTTACTCACTATGGGTATTGGTGTGGGAATCCAAGGGACAGGAGTTGGACATGGAGAGATATTAGGCCGGAGCCAGGTATATTGTCCAAATTAAGTCCTCAGAGGAATTCTCAGAGAGGGATTCCAAACGCAGAGCTACATATGGTGAAGCCAGGGAAACAGGGGTGGTAGGAATGACGGCCTGTGTTAGCTCCTTAACTAAAGAGTAGGCAGCTTCAGCAGCAACTCTTTACACATTTCCTGTGGCCACAGTTAAGTACATACACAGATTTGGAGTAAAACGTATAATCCAATTTTTTCTTAATAAAAATAAGAAATGTGGGCCGGGTGTAGTGGCTCACGCCTGTAATCCTAGCACTCTGGGAGGCCAAGGCGGGAGGATCACTTGAGGTCAGGAATTGGAGACTAGCCTCAGCAAGAGCAAGACCCCGTCTCTACTAAAAATAGAAAAAATTAGCCAGGCATGGTGGCGCATGTCTGTAGTCCCAGCTACTCAGGAGGCTGAGGCAGGAGGATTGCTTGAGCCCAGGAGTTTGAGGTTGCTGTGAGCTAGGCCAATGCCATGGCACTCTAGCCTGGGCAGCAGAGCAAGACTCTGTCTCACAAAAAAAAAAAAGAAAGAAAGAAAGAAAAGAAAAGAAATGTGTGGCACAAAGAATTCAAACACTATACAGGAGTATAGAGTAGAAATAAAATTTCCTCCTTCCCCACACCCACTGTTAACAATTTTATGCACCAAATTAAGAGAAATCACTGTTGTGTCCCTAGGGACTTTTTTTTTTTTACAGTGATTATCTTCAAAATTTTACTTGCAGAGATTGAGTTAGTAGTTAGTACCAGGAATCTAGAGTGTTTGAGCCTCCGGGAGATTCAGATGTATAGTTAGGGTTAGGCACTGCCGGCCTAATCTGCCACTCTCTAAAGAAGGACTGTCCTGGCCTCCCTGCCAGAGAGACCCCTTACCTGGGCTCCATACCAGTTCATGGGTGGCACTGGCTGAGCTGGCTCTTTGGCTGTTGTGTGCCAGACTGACAAAACTTTTTCCTGAATGACACGTTCTTTATTTAATTCTGTTCGTTAGATTCCAGGCATCTGACCCAGGAAACTTCTCATCTTCTGCATCTATCAGATCCATGAGCTGTTGGTCTCACAGTTGAACTATGAGCATTTGGGTGTCCTTTGTTGCCTGTTCTTTGCCTACACTTTGTGCTTTTTAAAGTGACCTGAGAATTTGAGGTCTATGGGTTGAAGCAGTGAAGTGCCCATGAGAACAGCTGGACTCACTCGTCTTTCATCCCACAAATGATTTTTGAGTACCTAGCATGTGCTGGACGCCATTGTAGGCGCTGGCAACAGTGGAGCCGTGACCAAAGTGATTCTTACTGTCATGGAGTCAAGTCTAGAGTGGAGTGAGAGACGAGTCAGTCAGCTGGATGTCCGAGTGTGGAATTCAGGAAAGAGACCCAGGCTGGAAATGGAAATGTTCGGAGATAATTGGCACAGAGGTGACGCTTAAAGCCATGAAACTGGGAAAGTCCCCCCAAGGGAGTGTCCCAGGAGGAAAAAGTTCAAAGAACCCAGTCCTGGGACACTCGTTCATGAAGAGGTGGGGAAATGAGGACGAACTTTGCAAAGGAGACTGAGAATGAACGGCCAGCAATGGAGAAGAGAACCAGAGGGGTGTGGGTGTCTCCCCACGGCAAGAAGCTGTTTTAAGGCTTTTGTTGCCTTCCCTATGGTAGGCGGCAAGGAAATACGTTTTCGGTGGGGGAAATAGCTGAGTCAGTCAGGGGGTCTGGAATAGTCTAAGGAGGCCTCGCAGCGGGAAGATTATTAATTTAGCCCTAAAGGATGAGTAGGAATTGGGTAAGAATGGGAAAGAGTATTGAAAAGATGAAGAGAACATGCCAGCAAAGGTCTGGAGTCAGGAATGGTTCATCTGGAGGAGGCCTGGGTGGAGGTGAGGGTGGCAAAGTTTGAGGGCCTGAAACGGGAGTTTGGACTGACCTCGAGTGAGGGTAAAACTCTGGGTGCTCTGAGCCGGTGACTTACAGCCTGCTGCGCTTTGCCACCCACGGGACATGCAGCGTTTGGAGACATGTTTTATTTTCACTACGAGGTAGGGTGCTGTTGGCATCTAGTGGGTAGAGATGAAAGGATGTTTCTGAAATATCCCCCTATGTGCGGGACAGCCCTCCACAACAGAGACTTGTCCAGGCCAAACCGTCAACGGCACCCAGGCTGAGAACCCCGCTCCAAACACACTGTACCGGGCCCTCCTTTGTCAGCATGGGGCACTGGCAGCTGTACTTGTTGCTGGTTGATGTAATGTTTTAGGGTTTAAACAATGAAGTGCTATTTCCTCCCCATCTGTCCCCTCTGTCCGTCTTTCTTTTTTTGTTCTTTAGATTAAAGTAGAAAAGAATTTCAGCATTATGTTCTATTTTTCCTGGGTGAGGGGAGAATGAGTAAGTGCTATTAAGTCTGTTTTTTTCTAGGTGGTTTTCTAAGATTTCATCCTCTTATGCATTGGGCTTTTACTTTCCCTTCCCTATATCTGTTATGTTCAAAATAACTGGATAATACAGTTAAATATGGTTCTGTGCCCCTTAATGTGATCGTTATAATACGATCATCTTATTATCCCAGGTGCTTTGGAGCCAAGATACTAGCAAGGTATTTTTTTACTTTCTCCAAAGTGAGACAGAAGGTGCCAAGCAGAGGAAGCTCTCTACGGTTTTGTTTAAAAGACAGTGGCATGTGGGAGCCAAGTGTTTGCATCCCGGTGACAAATACTGAAACCAAAAGAGGCAAAATAGAATATGCCAAGATTCTCATCATTTCCAGAGAGAGGATTGGGAAGTAGAGAGAGAACCTTAGGTTTGTTGGGTTTGAGAATGGGCGGTGTCCCTCCGAGAAGTGATACCGTCCTCTCTTTCCAGTGCTATATGTTCCACATGTACGTCGGGGTCCGGGCCGGGGGAGGTATCGGTGATGAAATTGAAGACCCAGCAGGAGATGAATATGAGATCTATCGAATCATCTTTGATATCACTTTCTTCTTCTTTGTCATTGTCATTCTGTTGGCCATAATTCAAGGTAAGCATCATCCTCACTGACGCTCAAGAAAATCTAGAATTTGAGCCACATATTGCTGAAGCTAATGTTCAAGGTGGGGTAAGAATGTCAAGGGTTTTCTGGAAAAGCCAAATAGAACTTTTCCTTTCAGTATTTCTTCATTGTGAAATCTGTAGAGGGAAATGCAAAGAAGCCCGGGAGCCTGGTGTCAGGGGGATGGATGTAGTTTTCTTTTGTCTTCTTTCAAATAACACAATGGAAAGAGCACTTCCCTTGGTTTGAATCACAGCCCTGGGGCTCAGACTCATGTTTGTGAGTCTTTATGAGTTTGAGTGGGTGAGCCATTTAATGCCTGTGGGTCTGTCTCATGGAAATTATATCAATCTCTAAGTCCTATGGTTGTTGAGAGGTTTGAAAAAATGACATTCATTCAGGTACCTAATGCAATACCTGATGCATAATCAATGCCTTATAAATAATCATGGAGCTATTATCATTGTTGAGTACCTACTGTGTGTCAGGCACATGTATTAACTAATTTTACCCTTTCGCTAACCTTGTGAGAATGGTACTGTGATTGACATTTTACATGTGAAGTCACTAACTGAGCCACGGTAAATCTAAGTAACTTGGCCAAAGTGAACACGAGTTGGCACAGCTAACCAGTGTCGGGGCTCGAGTCCACCCACGGCCTGGGATCCAGAGCCCTCACTTACAACCCCAGTGCCGTGTTAACCTGCTGGTTCTTCCTTTTAGTTCCGGGTGACCCGGAGTGTGGTGGTTTTCTCTCTCAGAAGAATCACTTGTGTTATCTCTTCTGCCTAACACATTTATTCTGGCTTGAATTAAATATCTATAAATGTGACAATACCCTTGAAGTCCCACTGGCATACGGTGGCACTGTTTTTTTGTAAGGTGCATGGACAAGTTTAAGGGACTCATAATTCATTCGTTATGTCTTTTTGAGTGTTTTATAAACCACAATGTGTTTTATACGAGGACAAAGTCATAAAACACATGGAAGGAAGCGTGTGGCCGGCAAGGCACGGGAGAGGAGGAGGCAGTCGACTCGGCAGTGTGTTCCCGATTGCCGCCATTAATGAAATTACAGAAAGTTCGCTAAGGAGGAACTTGTGAAAAACGTGATTTGATGGAAATTTCTCACAGTTTAGATGGTCATATTTTATTTTCAAATTAGTCCTTGAGAAATCTTATTTGTGGAGTTTTCTGTACTTTTCACAACCCTAATCTCAGCTGCTCCTTTTCAGCACGGGATGCGTACCATCTGTCTGTGCCAAGTGAGCAAAAGGTTTCTCTCGCTCCGGCACTTGATTCTAGAACACTCTTCCAGTGAGCGTGTGCCCCAGTCACTGCGTGTCCTTCTGCGCCCGAGGCGAGAACTCCGCCTCCCTCGGAGGGTCGCAGATCGTGCTCACACTTTTGCTGTGTTCTGAGCGTTTCCCAAGCTAGTTGTACATTTCCCTTCCCCTTGGAAGGATTCGCCAAGGAGCTATGAATTTAATTATTGTTCCCTGGTTGGTAAAGATTAAATCGAGTCTTTATTCGACATTAGGTCTAATTATCGATGCTTTTGGAGAGCTAAGAGACCAACAGGAGCAAGTCAAGGAAGACATGGAGGTAAGCCTCTCCGTGCGTGACGCAGCTTTTTTGTTGTTGTCGTGGGCACTAGTTTTCCTCGCTGCCTTTATCAAGAGAACCGTGAGCATGGGAGAAAGAGGGGAAAGGATACAAGCAATGTGTGGTTTCACCTGCCTGCTTTCCGTTCAGGCAGCACATACAGTTGAGGGGCATGCTGGGCTAGAACTGTAGTGGGCTTCAAGTCCGGACAGACAACGGTAGGGCACCATCCTGCCCCTCAGAGGGTAGGGAGACCATTCATTTAAAACTATAGCGTCACTGACAAGTAAATCGATGATTATAAAGTGGTGCAATGAGCCCTTTATGAGAGTAAAGCCCAGAGTGCTGGAGTCTCCAGGCTGGTACCTAATTCACACCCGGATGATCACTGAACTTCCTAGAAGATGGGATGCCCAAGCTAAGACCTGAAGATCGTGGACGTGTGGTTGTGATAGCGACGGCAGAACATTTTAGGCAGCGTCCCTGTCCCCTGCCTCCCACTGTGCACATCTCCAGGGGTACCATTCGCGTAGGAGTCCACGGGAATGTTGCCACCTGGGATGGGAAGGCTCTGATTTTAGGGACTCTCACATACAGCTTTCTTCTTGGAAGTGTGAGTGGTTCAAGGTGCAGCATTAGATTCTAGTGATGAGGCGGGAGAGGAATGCCAGAAAACGAACAGCCCAATCACTCATTTGAGAAATTTACAGTTTACGTACAGGCTGTGGGAAACAAGAAAAGGGCTTTAGTGGGGGCAGCGAGGTGATCGGATTTGCATTTTTAAGAGATAGCTGACATTTAAAATATGGGGAGGGAACTAGAAACTGGCAGGACCAGGGCAGGGAAGTAGGCTGTCAGCATTTTCCACGAGGGAGGTTACGAGGCTTTTGCTAAAGACGTACCACTGAGGGCACAGCAACTAGATGGATTCCCACAGGATTTGGGACGTGGAGTGAGACGAACATGGTGATAGGCCAGATGCAGAAGATGAGGATGGAGCAAGCCTGGGGATACCCAGGTTTCAGCCAGGAGCCCCCAGATGGGTGGGGGCACAGTTAACCAACACGGGGAACCCAGAGGAAGAGCAGGTTCATGGATGAAGCTGATGAGTGTGGTTCAAACCTGTTAGTTTAAGAGACATCATCGATGGAGTGCTGTAAAGTCCTGATTGTTCCCCCAAATTGCTGGATGTGGCGTCTCTGCTTTTAGCAGTTATTGGTCAATAAGTCAAGAAGAATTTTGTAAATTGTTATAATCATCTTTATTGTAGTTGCTAGAATCCAGAGCATCATAAACACGCTCCCATTGGTATCAAACAGCTTCTCGTGGGCAGGGAAAGATGAGCGTGTGAGTCACATGAGGATGATAATTATTTAATTCATTTCAGTTGATGCACACGACATTCTAACAATGAGATGGAGGGTTGGCTTCTCCTTGGGTTTTGTGAAACAGGCCCCAGGCTGCAGACCTAAGCAGGTGACTCTGCAGCAAGAGAAGTGTGGGCCGGAGGAGGGGGAAGCAAAAAGACCAGGCGCTTCTGTTCCTAGAGTTGAAAGATTTCCCAGTGCACGTCCACTGGTCAATTCTGTAGCTAGCACGGTGCCTGGCACGTGGCAGTCCCTCACCAAATCACCCGTGGAACATCTCATAGCTTGGTATTTGATTGGCACACCCCCGAGGAAAGCAGTCTGCACCTGTTCCCCCTCGGTCATCAGACTTTGTTCAAGTGGGTACTAAATTAGCAGTTGTGGTTGAGGGCACAGTTAATCCTGCCTAGATAACTTAAGTCAGTGTCGTGAACAAGAGTGATCACTGAGCCTGGATGTTTTCACCTGAGCTGGAGAAAATAAGGAAAAGACACCGCTCTTCAGGTATCGTTATCCTGTGCTCTTTCTGCATCTGTTGCATCTTGCTGCTGGTACCTGTGTCATTTAAACCAACAACAAAATACCATCGTGGCAGCAGTTAAATGTCTGTTCATGAGCTTGGTGCAAGCTCCGGGTGATGATCTTCGACATCGATGTGTGTCATACAGCTGCCCCTACACAGCAAGTTATGTCTTCCTTTCCTTGTGCTTCCTGAACTCTCTGACGTTGTACTGTTTCCCTTTGTCTTCTAGACCAAATGCTTCATCTGTGGGATAGGCAACGATTACTTCGACACAGTGCCACATGGCTTTGAAACCCACACTTTACAGGAGCACAACTTGGCCAATTACCTGTGAGTGTGCACGTCTCAGACTCTTCCACCTCTCCCTGTAGCCACAGGTCCCCCCATCTCGGGAAGCTGGAGAAACAGGAGAGAGAGCAGCTGCTTTTTCTCCATGGTGGCTGCAGATTCTTTGAGAGAAAGACCAACAGCCAGTGGGGTGGCTCTCTTTTCCTCTGGAGTACGTTATCTTAAGAAATGAAATTGCTGCTCTTCACATAAAGGATACTTTCTGAAACTTAAAATGGAAAGGAGGGCAGGGGAGAGCAGAGTCTCAGGGAGTCGTGCCCGTTTCTCGTTTCAAACAGGACTCCTACGGCTGCTTCCTAGAGATACATGAATCTGCATTTTTCTCCTCTGAGGACTTACAGATCTTTCCAGCCACTATTGGAAACCCAGTTAAAAGCTGCCCTTTTTTTTTTTCTTAATACCTAGAAATCTTGCCATTACTTGGGACTAGCCAAAACCATAGTTTGGTAAAACGCTGTTCTTACTCATTTTCTGACCCAATTTTAATATCAAACAGAAGAGGTACATAGGTGCAGAGTGGCATTATAGGGGGAAACAATGGTTTAACTATATTCAGTTGAACTGGACCAGTAAATTAGAACTTCTTATTAAGCTAGTCATCAGTTAAAATTCATCAGTATTGATTCCATTCTGACAAAAATGTGTATATTGCCAACTTGAAGCCAAAGTGCCTCTAGGGTGAAATTGTGGGTCAGATCAGAAAAGTCAATGACCTCTTTCTGGTACACTGTAATTAATTTTCCCGCAAGTGTTTATGTGGTGTTTTCCCTGCCTACCAAAATTAAATGCAACATATAACATATAAATATATGCCATGTTTATACTGATATTTTCATACAGTACATTTCTGATCAGTCTCTCTGTATCTGTAGGTTTTTTTTGATGTATCTCATAAACAAAGATGAGACAGAACACACAGGACAGGTAGGTAAACAGCAACTATATATCATCTTCTGAAAGGGATGATGGAGAAACCCTACACTTGTGTATCACGTTGGAACAAAATGTGTACATTCAACAGTAAGGGCTGGAATTACTTTCAGATGCCAGTTGTGGTATCTTGATATAAAATTCCTCTTATCTTGGATGTGGGTGAAAAAGATTGCCTTTGTTAAAAAAAGTAAAATCCTAATTTCACTTAAAACAATAAACTTTTGTTAACTGAAAATACTGGGTTTGGGTTTTGAAAGCCCTGTTATAAGAAAATTGAGTGTTCTTAGTTGTTGTATAATGTCCTTGATTGCTTAATCAAATAGTAGATGATTTCAAATGAACTTCCACCCACAGTGTTATGGTTGGTTAAAAAGGACTGCACATTAAATGTCTAAGGTTTTTAAGCTATTTGAAATTCTTCTTCTATGAGTGTTCACCACAAATTGTTAATAGTCTGAATTTGAAGTATGCAACAATTACTACTAATAATATTTTAAGGGAACCCTCAAAAACATATACCATAAATATATTTTTAATTATTATTATATTATGGTCAGGATGAAGATTGATTATGTGTTTAGTAGTAGAAGTAAATAAGATCTGGTATAGTTGGATCTATCTAAATCTGCGGTCCCCAAGCCCTGGGCTGAGGCCCAGTACCACCGCTGATGCCAGCACAGTCCCTGATGCCAAAAAAGTTGGGGACTGCTGATCTGAATGAACCTGGACTTGTCAAAGTACATGTGATATGTGTAACAACCAAGTTGAGTTTCTAGCCTATATTTTGAGTTCGCACAGATTTGGGGGAAAATGTTAATACATTTCCTTTACTTTTACAGGAATCTTACGTCTGGAAGATGTATCAGGAAAGGTGCTGGGAATTTTTCCCAGCAGGGGATTGTTTCCGGAAACAGTATGAAGACCAGCTAAATTAAACTCACATCCTGATCACCTCTAAAAACCAAAACACTCTCTCTCTTTTTCTCTCTCTCCCTCAATCTCTCCCTCTCTCAATCTCTCTGCTCTCTTGGAAACATCTCGCTGATTTCGTGAATTGCCAGCGTTGTGTGCTCTCGGGGAGCATTGAAGCTCTGTGTCTGAAGACCTGGCTGTGTTTTCCCCCCACCATGTATATTTTCTTTGAGAATAAAGACTGCAGAATAATCTAAACTCATAAACAGACAATATAGGAACTCTGGAAAGAAAACCATTCTGGACACTATCATAACACACAGATTTTCTTCTGAGACTCTTAGAAGTCTCTTTGAGCTACGGGACCTTCACAGAGACACGTGGCAGCCACATTCACCCAGCCTCTTTATTTCGCCATCCTGGAAGGGAACTGTCTAATGGTCACAGAGCACTGTAGCACTTAACAGATTGCCGTGGACACCAGTCGCGAAGGGAAATAGTGCCTTACTATATGTGGGTTGAGCTATGCAGAAGAAATGTGCATGAAAAAAACATCTTTATTTTCTTTATGTCGACTTTCCTTTCTTAGATTGATTTTGTGAGTTTTTTTTTTTTCCTGTATTCTTTTCTTTGGTGGGGGAGGGTAAGAAAAGCAGTTTGCACACTTTTTTAAAAAGATGGTGGTATGTCTCAGGAAGAAAGGAGGCTCTTCTCATTCAGCTAAATTCACATTTGCCCTCCCCATGTGCTCCTGCTATTATTTTGGTAATGCTCTGATGCAACATTGCAACTTTATGAAATCTTTGTATGAAAACAAAAAGACTGCAAAAAACACACTTTCAAAAGAAATCATTCATTGCATGTTTATTATGCAAGTTTAAATGAACAAAGAAAACCTTCAGAAGCAAGTTGAACAATGTGAGAGAACTTTCACGATAATTATAACCATAGTAATAAAGTGTCGTGGGCTTAATTGTATATTTGGAGCCAGTGTCATCCACCAACAATGTGATACATTATGAACTTGACAGTAGTTTTGGGTTTTTCTCTTTCTTTGAGCCACCTGTGATCAGTTGTTGATTAAGGACTTCTTGTCAGGCCATTTTTTAATATCAAAGCTGAAGCAATATCCATTCAGGGATTTCATCAGTTGCATCACGAAACATGGATGATAATATAAATCACTCCATTTTTTTTTCCATTTTGAGTCCTTTTAAATGTAATGTGAAGCTTTACAGTTAAAAAGACAGAATCAGAATGGAAGCGAGATCATTTTGCAAACATTGGAGCTCTTTTATTACAAGTCTGCTTGTTAATTTTAGAACTGTAAAACTGCTCTGATTAAACTATTTAACTAACTTTCTCATCCTCTTCTTTTTCCATTTAACTTGTAACTGGGTCTCATTATAAAACCTTAAGCTTTTAATTTGAGGTGGGTATAGGACAGTCCCAGACACTTCCCTGAGACCTTTGACACTGTCACATTTTCTTGTAGCTCAACAAGTTTTCTGTATTTACGATTGTGGAGTCTCAGAGTCTCCGGGCACCTGGCCCATCCCTGTCATTTCCCTGTCATGAGGGTCATCCAGACCTCTTGAAAACCTCCAATGACAGAAAGAAAACATCACTGTGTCCCAAATTGTTTAAGAAATTTAGAAATCTCTCCTTTGCTCAGGGAATGTTCATTTCCTATGATAATAGGAATCTATTTTCTGTCTTAATATGGAAGAGAACCGGTGCATAGTAAGTGGTGTATTAAACACTCGAATACCAATTGGACACTTGCTGATTGCCAAGGATTGTGCTGGGTACCTGTGACATATCTATCATCTGTCATTTTATACCTTATCAGCACAACATCAGATTTCCTCCTTTGTATTTTGTTATAACTTTTATTTTGGGGGAGAAACAAATTTAGCCATACCGTGGGAATTTTCAGGCCTGCTCAGGGAGGTGATCCGAAGCTCTGAGGAGTCTGAATAAAATAAATCAGGTCAGCTCCATAAAACATCAAAGAGCACATCACCCTTTGCCATTAACACTGCAGAGGAAGCATCTGGCGGAGAGGAATAAATATTTTTCCGGGACATAAAGTCCACTGATAGATTCAGGTCTTCTTTTTATAACGCCCAAATCAGAGTTGACACGAAACAACAGTACAGGTGAGAGGTGAGTGAATAAATTCATAGTTGTCCCTAGATTTTGCAGGCTCTTGGAAGCTCTCTTGGCTGACTGCTGCTCCCAGCTTTAAAGCCCCAGGAGGTGGCAGAAGTACTCTGGGAGAAAGAGGGAGAGAGGCTGGAATTTGGGGAAGGAAGCCTGCCTTGGACAGTGGGCTTCGCAGGCACATCCGTGTGGGAGGGGAAGTCTCACCCTTCCCAGCCTCACTGGTCAACAGAGGAGGACCTGCCTGCCTTCCCTTCTCAGGCCTCAGAAGTAGAAGTAGAAAGGGGTGGTCTCCAGGTTCTAGGAATTCAGCCAACTAGACAATCAACCTGTTCTGTAGCCCTTTGTTTATGAGGCCTGTGGCTACCCAGCTGGCTGAAAGAAGCCCCTGATAGACTCTGGCAGCTTATGGATGAACTGAAGTGAGCTTTCCTCATTGCCACGCTAAAGTCTCCACCCTGGGCGGAGTTATAGCTTCGTTACCATAACATGGGACCTGTGTGCTACTATGACAAACTAATGATTCGTGTGCAATGGGAACCCCTCCCCTACATGTGATGACACATTTTTTTCTCTCTCCACTGCCCCATAAAAACCCCGTGCCACTTTCCCCCCAGGAGACACTGCTTTGAAGAATATTCCTGATGCTCCCCTTACTTGCTGAAAGTAAGTAACAACTGCTCCTGATCAAGACCCATGTTCTCCCAGAGAGTTGTTTGTTACTTGCCAGGTGAAAGAACCTGGATCTTTCGGGTAACAAAAGGGGAGAGGGAGCTTTTCTTTATCAGCATTAATTTTCCCACGAAATGTCTCAGTGTATCTCAAACACATGTGGTTGTCCACTTCCCTGATTCAACTCAGGGCTGCTTTACCCAAATTCAAGAAGTGTAATCATTTTAGAAACTTTATACCAATATTGCAACATACACGAAGAACATTGTAATGAATGCTCACATACTTCTATCTCAGCTTCAACGCTTACAAACATCATTCTGCCCTAATTACTTCATCTAGTCCTCTCATCTGTTTTTCCTAGAAACATCTTTTGAATCTATGCCATAAAATAAGTTTAGATTCATAATTTAAGTTGGTCTTTCAAATACACTCTGGCTGTGAATGTCTAAATGGTACTCCTTGGATGGAGGGTCATTATTTTTTCATGTGCGGGAAGCAGTTTGTTTTCAGCCCCACAAAAACTCATTTAAAAATCATATTGTAATGAAAATACTTTATGCCTGATTGTAAAAATCTCATCTAGGAAAACTGGACATTTTTTTCACTATCTTTACTGGGGAAACATTCATATTTTTCTTAAGCTCCCATTTTCTAGGTGAATATACCAATGTGGCCCTCATTGCTGTTAAGGTCTTTGAGTGGCTGTCACAGGTGAGTGCCTCATTTCCTCTGGACACGGTAAAAGAGAATTTTTGAAAATTTATTACATTTACTCAAGCCCGGAATTCATGTAAACTTGACATGAAAAAGGCTTGAACAGTTAGACATCCCCCAAACTATTTCATAAATGTCTGTTGTGTTGTGAAGAGGATGACCTCACTGTCACCTTACTGATAACATCTCTGCCGAGCACTCTGAAATATCTGTAATAGGAGCTGGATAAAAAGTATCTTGATCTTGATACAAGTGCAGGGACGGCACCTGGGTTTTTTAATAGCCATAAATATTAACAGCACACACCTCTAACAGGACAAGGTTCAGTATCATATCATCTAAAATTGTGTCATAATTTACTTGCATAGCTAATGTGAATATAAAACAGGGAGCTAAATAAAGTTCCATGTTCCCAAAATCACAGGGTTTTTTATAATGTCACAAGTCAGTACAGAAACAAAAAGAAGCAGGTAATATTAATTTCTGCATTTAGATAACATTCCAGGACTCCTAGGAAGTTGGCGTTGGAAGGGATTTAAGCAATCACGTTTCAGATGGAGCCATTTAGGCATGTCCAAATGGCTCGACTGAACTCAGCGCTGGTTAGCGGACGAGCTGGAGCTTGTTCAAAGAAGTCATTTTTGTTGTTGTTAATCTTTTTTCTCTTACAACCAGAATGGTTTGAAAAATAACAGGTTCCTTATGACCTCGCAAAAATGAAATAGGAAAACAGTTACAAAAGTTTTTGATGATATAACGATGTTCACTAATATTCTGCTTCTGTGACAAGGGGAATTCTGGAAGTGATTACATGAGATGAGTAACTGGCTTCAAAATGCACCATTAATCATAGCTAATTCTGAATAAAGAAACCAAGTGTCAATTTTAGTGCAAGACAAAAGGGAAAGCTTCAACGTGATATTTTGCTTTGGTATCTACCTTATTTCTATACGGAACTCTATAGAATGTTTCTTTGGTTTTCCGTAACTGTCTATAAGTTACTGTATCATGGCTAAAAAGATCCAGTTCCAGTTATAATATTCATCATGATTAAAATAATTTTGGTTCATATTTGCATTAAAGATTTTGGGTATCATTGGTGAGAATAGGTTTTAGGGGATCAAAGAATCTACATGTTAGTGTCTCAGTGGTGTTTTAATGGCAAAGGAGCATCTCATTTGCCTTTCTTGCTTATGTCAGGGAGGAAAAACTTTACCCTGTTATGTTAGGTATTTGGAGGCTTTCAAATTAAATTGGCAAATGGCAGATTAGCAAGAGAAAAGACAGATTTTTATTCACATATGTACCTGGAAGTTTGCAGGAAAATATGACTCAAAGAGGCTGCACGAATCTGGGAGCTAGATACCATCTGAACGGGATAGGATGGGGCAGAGTGGCACCTCTGGAAAAACAAATAATTTCTAGTAAGTGGAGAGAAAGGGCACTTGTGGAAAAACAAATGACTCTT